AAAAAAAAAAAAGAAATTTTTCAATTTCCCTACCTCATAAATCAACTTTTGCTTCGATGTCGGAAGACCAGTTTTTTCTTGCACGACGCTCTTCAGAGTAGAAACCTTGAAAGGAGCTCTCATAGAGCAAATAAAAGCACTAGCGAATCTTTGAAAAAAATAGATAAAGATACGAAACAAAAGTTAATAAGCATTAAAGGTTACCGGAGCAGCAACATCCATAGAAACTTCAAGAAGGGAACCATCCAGCTTCCAATCTGGATTTGGTGCACCAGTTGGTAGCTGCACGCTAACTGTGATCGAGCCAGACACCTGCACAAATTAAAAAATAAGTCAACTGTTAATTAAATACAATCAAGGATTCGATTTGAAAAAAAAAAGTTTCTAGTAACAACCGTACAAGTACCTTTGTAAGCCAGTCAGCCTCACTTTCAAGTTCGTCTTCTGTACGAGCACGTTTTGTTGGTGGACCTTCTGTTGGAGTCACAACAGCACTTGTATCTGTTGGGGGTATAGCAGGAGTAGGGATTGCAACAGGAACAACAGGCCGCAAACCTACAGTCGGTTGAGGCATCACAGGAACAGGAATCATTGGAACTGACACAGGTGGCTATAAAAGTTGCACAATAATTCTGAATCCAAATAACCCAGCTAGGATATTGAAAAGTAAAAGTATGTTTAACGAACTCTTATTGGTCGGATGCCAACAGGACGCGGCAGAGGTGGTACAGGTACTGCTGGAACAGTAGCTGGCGCAGGAGGAAAAGGAACTGCGGGAAATCTGAAATCCCAGTTTCATACTTCCAATATGCTTTTTTGGTTCTCTAACTCCGTCATACTCTGTTCAACAAGCATCAGTTAAGTGAAAATAAAATTTCTTGGGAGTATTCTGAACATACCCGGGAGGTAAAGGTGGTCGAGGTGCGGCAACTGGTGGCACAATAGGGGGACGTGGAGGTTGTGGAACAGTCGCTGGAGGAGCCGGCGGACGTTGCGCAGGAAGTGGTGCTGGCAAAGGTGGTCGTGGTTGAGCAGGAGCAGATGGTACTGCAGGTACAACAGGTACAACAGGTGATGCTGGAGCTGGAACAGAGTTTGTTGGAGGTGGGGGTGGAACAGGACCTGGTCCAATACGCTCTTTATTAGGATCCGCCACGTAACCGTGCTGTTTATGAATTTCATTGATTTGTTGGTCTGAAAGTCACAAATTATAAAGTTTGACAATTATATTTCCACTTGCACACACAATATACAAACTAAAAAAAACCTAAAGTAATGCTTTGCTGAGCTAGCTTCGTAGTTTGGTCTATAGTCGATTGCTGACCGTCCCAAATAAGTTTAGGGTCAGGACCACGCGGAGCTTCCTCTTCTTCGCCAAGCTGCAAATTAATGAGAGGTAAAGACACTATACTATGGAAACCGTTCAAAATATCCGTTATAAATCATAATGAAACCCAAACGCTATTACACAACACAGAGAAATGAATTATACCTTTTTCCCAATAATCGTTTGCTCAGCTCCGTGGCCAAAAATATCCGTACGTCTTTCAGCAAATTTACCAATATTTTTGCTAATGTCAGCTCCTAGAGCGTAAACAGGCTCCTCCTCATTACGGTCAGACAGCTCCCTAGAGTATAAAAGTGTTTACTGGGCTGAGAAACAAAACGAGGAAGCCAGTCTTTTTTTTTTTTTTCTGTCCTTGCAACGTCAAACCTCAGTAGTAAATTAATTCTTGAATTCAAATCAGATATTCCGTTTAAACAAAAATATAATTGCACAAATACCTTTCCCTCTGCTCCTTGTACTGGGCATCAACGGTGTTGTAACGGACATGTTCTTGCAATTTATCAGCGGGAATACGCTCACCAGTAAGAGGTGAGATAATCCACTTATCTGCCAATTTTTTATGAGCCTGTGCTAAAAAAGAATGCCAATTACGCATGCGAAAACACTAATGAGAGATTACGATAAGTATAATAAGCATCTCAAACCAAAATAAAGACTGTACTGACTTTTTTTAGGGTCGTATTCTCTTATAATTACATTGTCTTCAGAAGGTGGGGCAGGAACAGGTTGAGTGATTTCAAAAGGTGCCATTTTGGGCTCTTCAGGCTGGGTCGGACCGGCCAATTCACTGACCTAAAGTTAAAAACTTCAGTGTAACAGACGAAATTATCACTGACAAAAAGTTTCATAATAGGCGAATTCCTAAAAGACCGAGCCAAAGTGGATAACTTTCGAGACAAATTTCGAATGATTTACTTCATATCAATAAATCCAAAAATCATCCTGCCCTATACCCATTTGTTTACTGCATTTAATAAGATACTTTGATGTATAAATAATCGGCTTCTCGTCAGCTTTAAATAAATAACTAAAATGACAGCGGTCACATCAAAATTAAAAGGAAACTGGGAAACAATTGATTACTTCATTTCGAATTTCCTCCTGCTCTTCTTCAGAATCAGATTCAACGTCCATCTCTACTGCCTGCTCAGCAGCGGCTTTAGCTGCTGCTTCCTTGAAAGTAAAAGTTAAGACAACAATGTCAGCGCAAATGCATTTTACGTCTAAATATTTCAGCAAAACTTAAAAGTGTTGAAATTACTTGACGTTGCTGCATCAAAATACGAGCTCCAACATCCTTTGGCGTACAGAACGGCGGTAAACTTGCTGCAATGCATCACAAATTTTACCAATAAAAAATCTAAACAACATCTACAGCAACACCTGTTGGGAAAATCATCTATATCCAAAATAAGTACACATTTCTTAACATGACTGTAGCAGTTCTACCCAAGAATGTCTTACCAGTATCGTTTATTGGGAAATCGACTGTTTGTACAACAACAAAATCGTGCCAGTCAATCTGTGCGTAAGCAAGGCGTTCACGTTCAAGCTGGAGCAAAAAAAAATTCCAAGAGAGAACCGGAAAACTAGGAGAGGGAAATGAATTGGAAATTTAAAAAATCTACCTCTGCATCTTCCTTTTCCTTCTGCGTTCTCTGATACTTTTCCCAACCAACTCGATATTTAACGTTTTCCAGCAATTTCTTCGTGTTGTCCTCTTCAGCCTTTAAGTCATCTACGACGGTTTTAGACGGCACAATCACCTGTTTGAACGTTTTCAAGGCAGCTAATTAGTAAGGCACAAGAAAACAGTTAACCTAAATTAGAACAAGAAGTAACCTTCGTATACTGTTCTACAAGCTTCGTGAAGTATGTGAAGTTAGAGTGTTGTGGTTTCAGGAAATCAAACTGATAATTCCTCGACTCACGATTCATAAGAGCAGTTAAAAACTGACGACCATTTCGAGCAACAAAAAGAGCGGTTAGCTTGATCAAATCACTGAAATATATTCAAAATCCTTTCAAAAAACTTTAAATGTTAGAAACTGCAACAATGTAAGTCCATCAACATCTAGACACAAATAGTAGCGAAACCAACTATTCTAACAAGTTAAAATCCAACCACCAGTAATTACCAAAAGAAATTACTGAAAACTCAAATCTTAAAGAAAAAAACCCACAGGTCAAAGGCATTAATGGTTGCCGGCTCTGCATCAAATTCGAAAACAGGAGGAGGGTTCCGAGGAATGAACTCCGCTTGTTTAACATGCTCTTTTACAGCCTCCGGAATTTGTGGACGCTGAAGTTTTTTCACAACAGTTTAGTTCAGTTTTAGCTCAGAGGAAATATATAAAGATGATGTTGCAAAACTACTGAAGAGAACATAAGTTATCAGCAGTGGTAGACTTCAACAATGAAAATCGATCTCGCAGTCATAAGCATAATTATGACCATAAGTAGTAAAAAGCAAAAACGACTCCAGAAAAAAACTTACTTGTACAGATGGTTCTGTTGGTTTACCTTCCTTGAACTCCAAAACCTTATGTTGGTAATAAGCATTGTACGGGTCTGTTGTACTAAGAAATTCAAATCTGGGATTTGTTGCCTCTTTTTCTCTAATTTTCTTCTCAAAATCAACTCCATTTCTAGCGACAAACGCTGCTGTTTTATCAACAATTGCTGAAAAGCATCAACGACTAGCACTCTAGACAGAATTGTAAGATTACATTGTTACTTTCAAAAAGATAACAGTAACACTAACTTCGAATATCTGGAGGAGGATATATTATGCCGATGATCTGTTTACCACTCATCGACGCTTCATTGTTCATGGAATCCTCTTCCCTATTCGAGACAACAATAGGAGGCATGTTTGTCTGAAAGAACGAAATAAAGCTTGTGCGCACGTCAACTCAACAATTTTCGTGTAAAATACCAAATAAATAAACAAAGAAAAAAATTAAGGAGTACAACAATACAATTAAACGCCAACAAGAATTAACGTCACATCTCCAACTGTTAAACTATATTTAAAAACAATGACAGTGAAATTGTTGAGAACCACCGAAATGCGCTAGCACTTCGATTGGCAAACCCGAAAAAAAGCTTTAAAAATTGGCATAGTTTCAAAAAAATTAGAAACTTTCGTTTCAGGATTCCAAAATGGAAATCGCATTATTTTGACCACTAATCTGGATATGTTCAGCGGTACGGTGGACAGCACAAATATTTCAAACAGTGGTTGGAATCACTTTTTCAATCAACACTTTTTTTATACGTCACAGATCCCCAAAAATTCTTTTTTGTAGATTATCTGAAGTGGCAGTTGTTGACATAATTTGTTGTAAAAGTTGTCAGAAATGACAGCCAATAGTCTTTGGAAGGTATCAAGATTTCATCGCATACGAAGGAGACGGAGAGAGAAATAAAAAGTCTTTAGAAGGACCTTTTGGAACTAGAAGAACTTTATAAGTATGCATCCGATTTTCTTCAGCTGTATTTTCCCAGTAAATCTTTTATCAGATGCTTGAACTTAATTTATTAGATGCTTTGCGATATTCCTCCGAAAGATTTGTTAACACATCACTTTTGGACAATGCTTTGCTGTAGAATGCAAGTCAGAAAAAGGTGCGTTTTTCTCCCTCATACTTGGTTAGCTTTTCTACACTTGACGAATGGACGTTTGATCTATTGTACTGTAGCATTTTGGTGAAGATTCATAGGCATTTACCTCATTTACGATGTAATTAGTTTGGAGAGAAATATTTTCTTAGGGCCTATGGTGATCGCATTTGATCAACGGTCATCAATAGCTATTTGCGTGATGTGTGAATTTATAGCACCTATTTCAGTGTTAGCATTTCTAGTAAATTTCTGACAACAAATCGTCTTCTGTCGCTCAGAAAAATTTGATGACGTTTATCGGAATAAACCTCGCGTGCACTGAAGTCGGAGCTAAGAAAGCAGCTTCTTCTCAGTTATGTTCAGTAGACCATGCAGCTGTTAGAAGTAGAGAATCGATTTTGAAGATATTTTTCTTTATTGTTGCTTCAAATTTAGGATAAGATTCGTTGAATTTGCTGTTTGGAACAAACAGAAGACCAAACAGTCAAACGATAAAAAGTGAAGCCAAATGTGGTAGGGAAAAAACTGAAAATAAAATCTTTCAACATTTGCTTTAAAGAAAACGTCAAATGTACTGTACAAAAAAAATTGAACAAGGTTTCATCATGTTCGCTGTTCTGATTGCCCCAAAGAAATTGGCTGACGGAATGCTTTGAAAACTAATATAAATCTACTGATCAGATTCGTATCTTCATAATTATCTTTCCGGCTTTCTCGCAATTCCTCTTCTCAACGTTACAGCCAAAAACCGAGTTGTTTATTCCCTAATTTGGTATTATGTGGTCTGAGATTATGTCCTAAAATCTACAAATTTTAAAAAATTCTGAAGTTCATATTAGTCGTTTGTTTTACAACCGTCATGATGAAAGCTCTGTCTAACTTTTCTAGCCAGTACAATTTTGCGGAGGTCGCTACTCAGCGGGAAGTTTTGATAGATTTAAAGGTACTCTAAACATAATGCGGCTTCTGAGCTGAGCTTATGAAACAAGAGTAAAGCTTAAACCTTACTTTAGTTGATTAAAATAATCAAAATTAGCACTAACTCTATCTGATAAAAAAAAAAAAAGAAAAAACATGAAAAAGCTGCAAATTTTCTATAGTTGTACTGTTCTGCACTTTTGTGTTAATTGATTAAACGAAGGTCTAGCTATTTAGGTTTATGCTTTAAACTTACTGCTTCGCAGAGTTAAAATGCACTTATCTGTTTCTTGCATTTAAAGCAGCTTTTTACTAAGCTTTCGTTTTCAATATCACTAGCAAATAATCAATGATGTTTTAACTGGTAGCTTTGGTAAGTTATTCTTACAGCCACAAACAAGACTGATTTTCCTTCATTTTTTTCGATTGGTGCGTTAAGATAAAAGATGCTTGTTTGAAAAAAACAATACTGGTATTCTAAAGGTATAAATGAAAAACTTCCTGCCATCTGATCGGATGGAAAAATTTAACGTCTTATAAAAATATTAAAAAATTTTTTTTGGATGAAATAGCGCAGTGATGAATTGTGTGTTGCGGATTTGTACTTTACAGTGACTACGGATGATTAGATCATCTTCAACTTTAGCAGAATACTTTTTAAGACGATGATTTTTTGATTTGAAGGAAAAAACTTATTGTGCATCATTTTCTGATATTATATGATTGACTGCTATAGAAACTTCCTTGAATTACCAAGAAATCCCACAATTTTTTGTGAGTTTTTCAGACGCTCTTCAAGTCTTTTAAACAATGTCGTTTGATTTTTCATATCTGCTGAAAATTATCCCGCTTATAGTGACATTCTTCTCTCAGCTTTTTAGTTCAGATGAGTTGGGGCAAATTTTTTGAAGAAAAAATTTTTTTTTCTTTGAAAAATTTCTAAATCAAAATTGAAAGCTGTTTTTGAGGAGTTTAAAAAAGCTTTAAATTTCAAGGAGCTAACAGTTGATTACTTGCTCTTAGGTTAAACTTTTTTGAAGATTTTGCGGGATGGCCCAGAAGAACAATAGTCTAATTCCCAAAGGCAGTCAGCGTCGTTAACCATCCGTATAGTAAAGCGCAGTTTTTTTGATTTTTCCCTTTTAAGTCTTAGAACTGTATCAGTTTTTCCAATTCACGATTCGTAAATTTTCATGCTTATGACGCTTGTCACCTCTTTAGCACTGCGGAAAAACAAAAAGAGATATGTGTTATCTTACCTGTCAAAAAAACTGTGACATCAGTGGTTCTGTTTACAATCTACTAAATCATATTTTCTCCTCATTTTAGTGAAATGACTACATGCTCCAGTTCCTGCGTTTTAATCTACCACCAAATTTCTAATTCGTTTCTTGCTTCTGGGTCGTTTTGTTTAGCAGTTTTGAAACGGTTATATCGTTATACGTCATCAAACCTTTATTTGTTTTGATACGAAAAACTCTTGTGAACTATAAGTTGTACAGCAATGGCATTAACTTTTAGAATATATGAAAGATGTAAAATTTGGTTGACATGTTCTATAGCTGTTAAGCTGATATGTATAGTACATAATGTGAAAGGCACCTAGTTTGCAAACAGATATTGATACTGTTACAGTAGGCAGCTGTCAGTGTCGTCGGTGGCGGCAACTGGGCATTCAAAAATCATTCAGCGGCCCCGCACTTTTCTGCTTGCTGGAAGACTCATGGATTTTTCTGCACTGATTGCTCCATAAGTTTGGTTTGTTTGGAGTGTTAAGGTCTTACTAGTCTTCCTTGATTTTATTTGGGTGATAGGGGGAGAATGGCATTGGTGTTTATCAGGTTAAAGGTTTAGTCTTACGTCATAAATAAACTCAGTTTTAAAGTGTTATGGTTTCCATTGCAACATTTGACCATTACTAATGTTGTCGTCAATTTTTTTTTACGGTAATGAGAAGTGCAGGATTTTACATGAAAAAAATACCTCAGATGTTGAATCAGAAGCCTGATGCTGAAAGAAATCCGTTGCAAGAGATATCATTGAACGGGATCAGGAAGCCGAGGAAGGCTGAAGTTCAGCCGTCTGCAAGTGGTGAAGCAGCAAGTAAATTATTTTAATTTAGTAGTATTGAGATAATGTAAACGAGGAAAGTTCCTTGAAAAAAAAACGCATTTTTAAAAAAATTACTGCTTAGATTAATGGTTCATCAATTTCAGCAAGATTCGTAGTTTTTGAACGTTTTTTTCCAAATCACCTATTCTTTTTCAACCATCATAAGTTGTTCTAAATCTGAAAGAAGAAAAAGCAACTGTAGGTGCAGGACCTTTGAGTAAGGACGAGGAAATTCAGCATTTGGTAATGTTTCTGAGATCAGATATCGACCCTCACCATTATTCGCCGTCCAGTGAAGTTAAGGGTTATCTGCACAAAGTTTGTTATATTGGTTAATGTATTACTTCTTTAATTCGTCCATTCGGCAAGACATTTTCGTACCCACTTCTTAATGATAGAAAAGCAGTCTCTGCGTAGAATTACATTCGTGTTTTGTAAAAAAGATTTGTGTTGAAGGTTTTTATTATGGTTTTCAGATTATTTCTGAGAGTGGCGATGTTTTTGACGATGGAGAAGGTGATTTTAGCCACTTGTCTCCCAATTCGTCTCGCGTTTATTTGAATGATTCTTATAATGAGAATAAACTAGCAAATGCTTTGTTACCACGTCCAGACATAGTGAACGTATACCGAACTCCTGGAAGCTCACGGCATGCCAAAAGACAAGGCAACATCCAAACAGTAGGTTGGCATTAAGACCGTTGTTAGTGGTTCATCAGCATCTGTCATAATTTGTGTTGAAGTCATTTTAGGTCTTCCCAATTATCGACCTTGAACTGTTCAATTACTTCATTTTCATTCTTTTTCTTTTACCCCTCTTATTTTTGCACAACAATGCGTTTTAGATTACTTCAACAAACTGAAAATACCATCAGAAATTATCGTGTCAATTTTTAAATTCCTTAATAAAAAGGACCTTGTGCACGCTATTATGACTTGCAGGCGATTTTACGAAGCTGGGTAATGATCTATTCATTTTAAACTTGCTTCATTTTACAGAAGTGTTTTGCAGATGGTTCGAACTTAAAAATAAGTTAAGCCATTTGTTGGGTCGACTCAAATGGCATTTCAGTTTTGCAATTTTTTTTCATTTTCTCTAAGCATCAGGTTTGCTGCTTGTTTTTCAATGATTTCTTCTGATTGGACAAGACTTTGTAATTTTGCGATTCTTTTGCAGCAAAGGCGCTAAGTACTCTTAAGAAAAGTGTTACAATAAATTTTAGAGTTAATCCTTCTCTCTGGAAGACTGCTAATCTGTTTAAGAAAACCACGTCAGTAGAGGCTATTCACGCTTTGTTAGTGCGAGGTGTGAGAGTCCTAAAACTGGCTGAATGTACCGTTAGTTTTCTACTTTATCTATTTCTGTGCTCTTAACCACATATTTTAGTGCTATCGTATATATTTATCTCTAAAGACATTTTTGACGATTAGATATGTTGCCTACTAATCGGTAAAGAACGTTTCTCAATAATAGTTTGATTATACGCTCTTCTCTAAAATTCCAAAAATTCTGTACTTTGAATGTAAAGCTTTTGAATTTTTCAGGTTTGCAGTTTAAATTTGAAGTTATTTTCACCTTTCTTGAGTGATCCATCTCAAGCGGTGAAAGTTAATTACATAGATTTCAGCAAAGTTGTCTTTTCTGATGTATCCGTTATTGTTGCCGTATTAGCAAAATGCAAGACTTTGCAGGTGACCAGTTAACTGGAATGTTATTTATAAATTTATAATGTGACAACACCGTTTGTTTTCATTTTTCCAGTTTTACGTTTAACTGGTATTCATTTAAACTTGAACTAGTTGATTAATAACTTAACTTTCTGTATTCTGAAAAAATATATGATTGCATTAAGAAAACTCGCAAATTTGCCTTTAAGCAGTTGCAGTTTAGAAGTTTGGTTGTGATTACCGCCAATATTTAATAGCTCTTCTCATTTATTATTAATTCCTTACACTAACTTTATTGGTCGGCTAAACTGTTTTCATACGTCTGATGTCTTGATAAAAATTATTTTACTTTGAGACCCCCTTCATTTTGCCTTTCCTCTCTTCTCAGCTTGCACAAAAACGGAAAATCTCTACTGCTTCTTTTCGCTTCTCAGAAATTTAAGATTTTGAAGATTCTTTAGAATTTATGGTTCTTTCGAGGATCAGCTTGAAATGAAAGGCCGAGATTCATCTTGGCAACATAACGGTTATTAAGAGCCCTTCCTAATAGAGAGTTGAAAAATACTCAAAAGACACTTTGTTGTGCATGTCTTTAGCGTTTCTTATGCGTGAGTGAAATCTTCGGGAAGATGTAACATCCCCAAAAGTGACAGTGTTGGAAAACGCTATGAGAATCATTTCTTGAAATACTTTTTTTGAAAGGGTGGGAGTGGAAAAGAAAGGCTAAAAGTTTTTGCGTGTTGTAGTTGTTTATTAGTTACTGATCACATTAATTACTGCGGTTTTCTAGGGAATTGCTTTCGACAGTAACGCTTTGGATGATTTGGTATGTAAAGAACTGTCTAGAAATTCTAGCCTTCGGTACCTGAGTCTGCCTATGTGCTACGGATACACGTCTGATGGCCTGAAAGAGATTTGTGAAGGATGCACCAGGTTCACTACTTATTTCCTTATACAGGTTCTAATTGTTTTCTTAAATTTTTTTGTGCGCAAAAGTTGTTTACCATTTTTGTATCACCAACCAAGCGCTGACGCGCAGAAAGGCGGGTCTTCAAGTGTTGAGGTAAAGAAGTGAGTTCTATTTTTGTTATCTAGGAATTTTCGTAAGCAATTTTCTATCTGAGCACGAAACTCCACACCTACTGTCAGCAGTTTTTTTTCTAGTAAATTTTTTGCAACGCTTAATCAAATTTCTTCAGTCTAATTGAAGCAAATTTCGCTTGGTCGTCTTTTACTGCTGAACACGTTCGCGTTTTGTGCTGTTCCCTGCCAGCGTCCCTGCAACGTTTAGATATTTCTGGAATAACTGAACATGCACTATGTGATAAAGGTTTGGTACAGTCCACTGTCATATCATAACAGTTTCGTCACTGTTTGCACAACTTGTGTGCACATGACTTGGAAAATAATGCCACTGTCAAAGACATCCATGTGAATCAAAAACTTTTTAAACTTATAGCAGCCGCTTATACAACCACTTTACTTTTGTCCTCTAATTTTCACTACCACTACTGCCTCCGCTGCATTTACTGTCACCGAGTTTTTGAACAGTTAGGAGCTACCAGTAGCTTTTCAAATTTAGATCTGATGATCTTAACCAGGACTTGCCCGATACTTACCGACCTTGATATCAGCGACTCTCCGTCTATTACTAGTGCCTCAGTAAAATGGCTTTTTGGAATGACATCGCTTAAGGGACTTAGTGTATCTCGCTGCTACGGAGTGGATGCTGCGACGTTCATGTCAGTGTTTTAGGGACTGTGTCTACTTCCGGTTACTCATTAATCACTCAGTTATTTGCCTTTGATGATGTTGTAGGTTTGCTGGAAAGCTTTCTTATCTGAATATTTTTGGCTGCATCACTGAGAAAGGTGAACAGATTCTCCGAAGCCATTTGAAGAACGTTCGGGTCAACGAGATCTATTACACAGAGATTGCCCGACCAACACGCGGTGCCGGTAGTTGCATGATTTGGAATAAATATGTGGGCGAGTCTTACTGAAAGCCTAATCCCTATATGTAAATGACGAATACTGTATGTGCCGACACCTGCTTTTTGTTGGTTCATGTACCAATGTTTGATGCCGAATATTAAATCTGTTCTTATTTCTTACTGGTTTTGTACTACACACATTCAGGAAAAACGTATTGCTTTTTTGAATTTCCCAGTCACGTCGTTTTTCAAACTGTTTCACTAACATATTTCTAATCCACATCCAAAATGCTCATTTCGGCACAGTCTTTGTTGCTGCATAGCACATTATCTTGCATTCATTGCTGCGGACATTTTCTCACTTCTAGAAACTGCCGTAGCAATGAATAAAATCACTGCAGCGGGAAAGGCACTGTATATTTCAATCTACCATTAAAACAAATCATACGCAAAAACAATATTTTGCAAAACCCAGCAAAGAAAAAAGATGCCATACAGCTACGTTGAAAAGGTTACAAGGTTTTTGCCCGTTGTCTGAATATGAGCACTAAAAGCATTGTTAAAATTGAAAAGTTTCTAGGCATACAGCGCAGCAAGACCCGTGTTAGAGGGTAACGGATCAGAGTACAACTGTCAATGAAGTCCGGTAAATAGTAGCTGAGAAAATTACAAAAACTTTCTAGCAGTAAAAGTGGAAACATTTCTCAACTTAAACCCTGCCATAAACAGTTCCTTCAATGAAAAAACTCTTTGGTGCTCCCAAAAGCGGTTAATTCAACAGTGCAAAAAATCGTTTAAGTTATTTTCACCTTATTTACTTTTTTCGTACCTGCTAAGTGCGACAACATTTTACCCGCCACAAAGCAGCTTTCTAGTTCACAGAAGCTGCAATAGAGATTTGAAAAACTATTAAAGATCCAGAAAAGGCAGGCAAAACATACTCAAATTGCATTGTTACTCAGAATCATCTGAACTGTCATCTTCTTCAGCGGTATTCAACCAGTCAATAATAGGAGCAACAAGTTTCTTTACAGGAGCATCATCAGCCACCGTGTTATACCACTCAAGTATTGCCTCCTCTTCAAAGATCCCCAGTTCATAGAACAAATGCACAATGTTAGGGGCCACAGGTTTCAACCTTCCAGACAAGGCCACGTATTCCTGAAAACCCGTAACTCAAGCATTGCAGCAAAACAATATTTTTAAGCCCTCCATATTTTTCGGAACTCATCACATACAAAGTACTGCTATTAAACTTAAAACGAGTAAGTCACCAATCGTTTACCTCTAAAGCAATCAACGCCTGAATCTGGTTCTTTATTGTCTTGTAATAGTTATGGAAAAGAGGAATCCACTCATTAGCTATCTGCAACGAATTTCAATAAAAAGTATTTATTACTATAGCAGTCAAAATACATAAAATTCATAAGAATTTCCTTTCACGCAATAAAAAACAAAATCATCACTAAGCTCCAGTGCCTTGAAACACGTAAAAATGAGCATTTATTAACACCCGTATTAATATACGATTGCACGCAAAAAAAGCTCAAAATAATTAAGCTGTGATGAGATTCATCTAATCCCGAGTAGAACAAAAGTGTAAAAAAATAGCTCAATTGTTTTTGCCATCTTTCAGCCGGTAAACAAATGTTAAATAAAGCATCACGTAACAAAAACCTACTTTTTTCACTTTAGAAAAGTTTTCATTTTGGGGAAGTCCCAAAAAACTGGAAAAAACACGCCGTGCGACATCTTCCGTGGATATGTTACAAGCCAGTTTGGAACAGTTTATCTCAAGAATAAGACTTTCTACAAGATCATTGCTGAATTCCTCTTCAGATGCGGTTCTTTCCATACTGTCTTTTACCTAGAAGTAAGAATAGGTATGAATGTTCAAAACGTGGAAGCTTTCCGCTGTCGCCTTCTTCCACAAAATAAAAAACTGAAAAGAGGTGACAAATCACGATTAAAAACTAAAGAAATTCCAACATTTATAGAAAACTTACTTCCACTGAGAACTGCTCTGCATCACTTAACTCCTTCGCAACCGTTTCATCAGTAACGCGGTCCTTATCAGACTCTAAATTAGAAAAAAAGTATCTTAATTTCTTCTAAAAGAAAAATATTGTTAGTAGAGTAAAAATCCTAAAACGCTAGGTATCTATAGTTGTCAAGGTCAAGATAAGTGAATAACAGAAACTGAAATTGTCTAATTTTGTTATTTCCATGATAAGTTTTTGAATTTTTCTGAATGAAATTACTGTTGCACGTAAAAACATCATCTACAGTACCTTTTTCTACCACTGAAGATTCACTTTTAAAACGTCGTTTACTGCTAGGACACCAGAAACGATCACCATTTAGAAACCTCCACTCAAAATAGGCTGAAACATAACCAAAAAACTTTTGCTTTATGTTATTATTTAAGAATTTCCAAGAAATGAGCGACCCTGCTTAGCAATAAATAGATTGCTTAATCCTTATATAAGTACTTAGTCTTCATTCACCAGAAAAAGTTCTCCTCTTTGATACAAGCCTACTGTATTCTAAAGCGCTAGTAGAATGTGATACCTACTCAGCTAGCCAAAGAAATTAGTGCCTTAATAATAAAATACGGGGATAACTAACAGTGAGAACGAGTACAAATGATCCCAACTTCTTCTTCGTCACATTCAAATGCACAAATAACACTGCTAGCAATGCTGGAGTTTGCTTCAACTGTTACCTACGATGTTCAAGTAAAAATTTTAAAAAAATGTGAAAAAATAAAGCGCCAGAATAAGATTGGCCATGTCAAAACCTACATTCTTTGCAATAATACTTTTCGGGCCTATCCTAGCTCCCTCCTCGATAACGACGTTGTCACCTACACAGGACTCCAATACTTTCACATTTCGTCCTATTGACACATTATTTCCTATTATGCTCGACTGAACATGGGCACCTTCACCTAAATCATTTCCTTTTTGAACCCGTATCATTTCTGAATAAAGGCACAAGAACAAATCACCAAGCAAGTATGTTTTTGGAATTATGGCCAATTAACAGTGCCAAGAAGTTACAAGATACAGGAAGCCAGCACAGTCTTCAAAACAGCAGTGATAACAGTTTTTCCTCGTGCAAGAATCAGGCGATTTATAGATTTCAAATACAAAAATTTTATTGTATTTGCAAAGCAAAATTTCTTTTAAAGTATTTTTATCAATATCACTATTAATACTGTGATTAACATTAATATTAGTATAAAAGTTGATACTGATATTACTATTAATGTCAATGTTAACACTGATATTTATTATTGTTATTGTTATTGTTATTATTTACTATTATTAATGTTATTAGTATTGTCGCTATTATAATTATAATTATAATTATAATTATAATTACAATTATAATTATTATTATTATTATTATTATTATTATTATTATTACTAACACTATTATTATTATTGCTACCATAATTATAATTATGCCTATTACCACTATAACTCTGTAATTGAAGTTCCAAAATAAGTACGATATCTGGAACAGTTCGTGAAAAAAAAAAGTAATTTTGACAAATTGAAAAATAACCTATCATGCAATTGTGTCCTAATGAAGAGCACTTTACAACAGCCTTCCGATCGACCCTGAAAGAACTCCCAAAGACCACATTTGGACCAACATCGTGAAGCGGACTATAATAAAAATGGTTCAAGTTAGCAAAATATAAAAAATATACTATCAATAAAGTTGAAGACGAGACCACGTAAAATAGTAAAAACAAAAAAATCAAGAAAATAAACTTCAAAAATGAAAAAAAATCAGGTACTTCCTGAAAATCCTTTTAACTTACTAAGAACAGTTAGTGAGATCCTGGTGAGTAATTTCATTATCCGATGAAGCTAAATAAATATTGTTCCTTAAAGTTATGAATCTACCATCTCCAACTCGACTTGGAATTAAGGGGTACAACCAACGTTGCAAAATAAGCTTATTTGCATGCAGGAGGCCTTCATAATCGCTAAAAGCTCAAGAAGTTACTTCCTACAAACATCTAATTCCTGCTATTATTTTAAATAAAAACTTTGAAGATGCGCCAGCCTCATAAAACTCACTTAACAGTAAATGCAGCAGTATTAGAGGGAAGAACATCAACATGAATGTTTTGACAAAGGACTCCTTCATGGACTAAAATTTCTCTTATAACATCATCCCTGCGTTGAAAATCAAAATTATCGCTGAACTGATTGCATATTACGGGTGAACAGAGAGCAAGTCCAGTGTCTTGAATGTCATTCCTTACCACCGATTCTCCAAGAAATGCAGCCTAAAAAAAACTAAACTACGCAACGTCTGTGGAACTAAAAAAGGTATATTTCAAATAGAAGAAAATCAAAATCTACATCAATTCTTGCATTTCCAATGCCACTGAAAAACAGGAATTAAGATATGAATTAATATACTATTGAAAATATCGGTTTTAAACCTATTAAACAACAGTAAAAAAGTAACTATTGACATCACAGAACAATACGAGCAAGAAAATAATTAATTGCTATTACAGCTGTTAAATGCTAAAGCAGAAAATACCAACATTAGCGAAGAGTTAGAGTATAAATAAAAACTGTAGAACAAGACGGTACTAGCCTTGTCAATATCAAAACAGGATGGATCATCGCCTCGGTGATAAAGAACCAGTTTATTAGATTTTTTTTCAAGGCAGATAACAGGATTCAAACCTTCTCTTTCAGCATACAGCAATGTCATTACATTGTTCTTGTCTTTCCGTCGTTCGCTACAAAGTTTTAAGGTCTGGTTGTTGGAGAGTACTTATCAGTATAAAGATTTCCCATGTTTTACTAAACTAAAGTGCACAAAAAAAAATATTGCACAATAACTGAAGTAACACCGATAAACCAAGGGTCCTACAAGAATGCTTTGATCTGAGGTCGCAAATCAAAGGAACAGAATGAAGCTGGATTACTAATAAGAAGGAATTCCGAAGAAATTAATGAACGTCCATCAACTTCTCTTATAACGTCACCAACACTCATACAATTCTGGCATGAAACAAGAGTAAGAGATTGGAAATAGCCGTCCCAGAAACTGAAAATGCTCCAAAAAAATACCGCTTAGAAAATAAGTAAGGACAGGACGAAATAAAGCAAATAAAAAAAGAAAGACAACAGTGAATTAAAAATTAGCCAACCTAAGGATACGTCCAAGACTTTCTTTCCGTTCTTCTACTACCGCAACAATGACTTCACGTATGTCCGTCTTAACCAACCACTCCAATGTATAATGCAAAATCTCAACATTCGCAAGTCTCAAACAACTCTAAATTGATATTGCACCATTTTTCATCTCTGAGAAGTGTTAAGAACGCCAGCAGTGAAAGCATGAGAATGATATTCGAAAAATCATTTTAGTTCAAAAAAAATTATTTTGAATAATTAAAACGACTGTCTGTTTTTCAAACATCAAAAGACAGCAAAAAAAGCAAGTAATAATAATAATGCAGAACCCTAGGTGACAGTTTTTAGAATTTTTAAACTTTTCATTACCCAAGAAAGAGAATTTCCAAGGACGGGGAGAAAACGTCTATCGAAACTGTCGGCAATAACCAGGGCCTTTAACGGTGGTGACTCTTTAACCTCATCTTTCACCATATCTGGAACCACATGAATTTAATTTGTTTAACACCTCAAAACAAGTTTTTCAAGTCTGTACTCTAAAAAAACAGAACAGCATTGAAATACCATCTTGACGCATGAACCCTTACACTTACAAAGAACCTCTTCTAAAGATATTTAAACTTGATGAGCCAACAGTCAAAAGGCACGAGTGAGAAAGCGTGTGATTTATAAAACAACTTTGACAATCCTGTTTTTCCCCTTAACTTAAAATTAATAAACCAATGACTCTCACTTCAAAAAATTCCTTACACTTTATAGAAAAGAGAATTTTACTCAAAATATTCTTTCTTACAGGTACACTATTTGAAAGAGTTCTCGAATCGGTTAAGAACCAATGAGACGCTTTTATTTTACATAGTTTTGGTGGCGCTTAACCGGGAAAAATAAAACAACCACCACAACACTAAAAACCATATGTTTATAAATTACTGTTTATTCCTCACGAAGTCCTAACAGTCATTAAACTTAAATAAAAGTGAATACATCAAATTTCAAAAGTGTATAAAGTGACGCATGACGGTAGCACAGAATAATTTTA